GACATGAATCCTCTCCTGCTTGGGGAGCACAGGAGACTTGGGACCCCCCCAGCAGGCAGGTGCTTCCAGCTGGATTTGAAGGATAAATGCAAAGCACGTGAGGCACAGCCACATTCCCAGGCAAACACAGAAACGTGCTTCCACAGGAACAAGATGAGCATGATAAAGGCCATCACAGGGTCAGGTTCTTCTCTGGCTGGGAGAACCAAGGGCTAGACCAGGGAGGCAGTGCAGCCAAGAGTAAGGGCCTGGGCTCTGTGGTCAGACTGCTGGGGTCTGAATCCCTCTCCGCTATGTAACAGCTGTGTGACCTTGGGATGTATTAATCTCCCTGCACCTCAGTCTCCTCATCTGTAAAGCGGGGACAATGACAATAGTAGTCTCATAGGGCCATTGTGGGGGCTACATAAGACAATGCACGGAAGCCACAGAAAAGGGGCTGGCTCTCTGAGCCTAGTGCTGGAGTGCTCTGGTGCTGATGATGGCACGAGGACTAATCTGTCATATCAAAGCTGGAAGGAATTTCCCTCACAGAACACTTTCCAAGTTTCTCCAACCCCCAGGGGAGTTATTCAGAGTCACTCAGCAAGGTTAGGCCACTGCTTGGGTTCTTAACTGTACCATTTATCACACAATTTTGTATCCTACATGGGACATATATATTTTATATACTTTACTTATTTATTATTCATTTTTAAAATTTTTACTTTTTTATTTTTGAGACAGAGAGAGACAGAGCATGAGCAAGGGAGGGGCAGAGAAGGGGGGAGACACAGAATCTGAAGCGGGCTCCAGGCTGTGAGCTGTCAGCACAGAGCCCGAAGTGGGGCTCGAACTCACGGAGCGTGAGATCATGACCTGAGCCGAAGTCGGATGCTCAACCGAGCCACCCAGGCGCCCCGATACATTACTTTTTAAAAAAATGTTCATTTATTTTGAGAGAGCGAGAGAGAGCGAGCGAGCACATGAGCTGGGGAGGGGCAGAGAGAGAGACAGAATCCCAAGCAGGCTCTGCACTGTGAGCGTGAAGCCCGATTCAGGCCTTGACCCGTGAACCATAAAATCCTGACCTGAGCCAAAACCAAGAGCTGGACACCAAACTGACTGAGCCACCCAGGCGCCCCTATACATTACCTTTTTAAATCTTGTGGCCACCCTTCAAAGGATATGTTATGCATTTTAACAGATGGAGAGGTTCAGTGAGGTCAGGTAATCTGCTCAGGGTCACATAGTGTCTGAGCGTGGATTCAAACCCAGGTCTCATGGAGTCAGAGCGCACACTTACCCTAAGTCCCCAGGGCCTTTCCTTACTTCCAGCTCAGCTGATGCAGGTATTGGAGTGTGGCCTATGAACCTGGAAGGAGACCACTCCAGGTGCAGGAGGCTGAATGGCAGGAGCTTGTGGGCTGGGCCACAGGCAGGCCCAGGGTCACTGTGAGAAGAGGAGACAGCATGGTCTCCCCCCTATCCTCCCCCACCCCACCCTTCTGAGTCAGGAAGGGGCGAAGTCAAGGCTGTTGTGGGCGTGGGTGTGTCAGGAGGCACCCAACTGATACTGCCCCTAAAGCTGGAGACTGTGTGTCTATACACGTGAGCCTGTGGCTGTGTGCATCTGTGGGTGTTCCCAGCGGTACGTGTGTGCATGCGGGTATGTCCTCAGGCTCACATAGACCAGCACTCTCAGCCTATGTGCAGGTCAGGCAATGTCACCTCCTTCCCTTCCCTGCAAATTTCTGTCCTCTCATTTTCCTTGGGTTGGTTGATTGAGCTTACTCCTTGGGCAGTTTGTGGCCAGACCTTTGTTCTTTCCCTTGGAAGAGGTGAGAGGAAGTCTCCAGATGCAGTCTATGTGACTAAGTTCAGCAGAACCTGCTGACTCGGTCCTCTGCTCCCCAATGAGTGGTCTAAAGGACCTCTAGTAGAGGCCGTATGGTGAAAGAGAAGGGGCAGAGGGATGGGCTGGTAGCTAGTGGGGGACTTGGGGTCCAGGAGGTCTTTTTGAAGGTGGGAAAGCATTAAGCTTGCTGTGGGGAGGGAGCCAAGGGGTGGAGTAGTTCATTGATGGTGGCAAGGTCCCTACCGGACCGCAAAGTGGATGTAGATGTAGATAAAGGTGGAAACGGAAGGCCAGAGGTGAGGGAGCTGTGCCCTTGGCTAAAATGAGAAGAGAATTACCTGGAATGGAAGGGCCAGTATCTGAGGGGATGGAGGGGAGAGACCAGGTAGGTGGCATGAGCTGCCAGGGAAAGGTTCCCTCTAGAGAGGGACTAGGAGCTGCCTAAAAGGGGCGAAGCCCAGAATAGGATAGTAGGTGTGAGGCTGGGAGGACAGGTTTGGAGAACTGGAGGTGGGTTCCCTGAGTCCACAATTGCTGAGATGGAGAGGTTCGGTGATGACCAGGGCCTGAGTATGCTGGTCTTGAGGGTAAGGCCTCGAGTGGAGATTGCTGCAGGCCAGGGCAGGAGCTGAGTGAGAGGGGCAGGGAGAACACCATTGTGACAGGAGAGGCGGGGAGCAGAGGGTTTGGGAAGGGGCAAAGGAAGTTTTTCATAAGTCCAGATCCAGAGCTTTCCTTGCTGTGTCTCTGTCCTTCTCAGAGGGGCCCTGCTTTTTCCCCAGCATGCTGGGGCGGGGAGGGGGGGGTAAGTGTGATCAAGGTCAAGTCTCCTTTTCCATATTAAGAAGACAAAGCACAGATAACAGAGAATAGAAAAACAAACAGGTTTGGGGTCCATGTCACAACATAGTATTTGCATTGGTAGAACCTTGAGTTTCCATCCTTGTATAACCCTGCAAACCAGAACCACTTGTGATTTCTGATGTCCCAGGACATTACCCCCTCTGACACTAGGTAATGCCTCTGTTCTCCAGAGACCCCTCTCAGCAGGGGCTGGAGTGATGCGTATCTGCCCTCCAGGGACCTCATACTCAGTTCTGCCGACTCTGCTCTGAACCTCTTGCCACTGGTGGCCGGGCTCTCCTCTCCACCTCAAAGAGGTCTACTTCCCTTTTTAGCTTTAGTACCTACGGCTCATGCCTCCCTTAGGGCGGTGGGAATGAGAATGGGAATGAGAATACAGTTTTACTTTCAAACAGTGTCCTGCTGACAGCAGGTCCTAGCCGTAGGAGGTGGTGACATCAACAGAGGTCGTGCTGCCAACAAGCAGCTGCAAGAAAGGGCAACTGAAGAGAACCCCAGAGCTACCTGACGATCTGCAGCCTTTTCTACCACACCCCCCCCCACGCCCACTTACAAGGCTCTGGTGACCCAAATTTCCTTGGTACCCCCTCCAGGCTTGCAGTGTATAGAGTTATGCAGGCTGCACATTGAACACAAGCCTTTCTCAAGGGGCATGATTCACCCCATGGACACAGATTTGTAGATTATGACAACTTTCCGGAAGGTGGCAGTAGAGTGTCTTGAGGAAGGGAATAGGGCGAGTAAGCTAACAGAGCCCTGGCTTTCTGAATGCATTGTGCTGGAACCTTCTGGCCTGCCTGGCCAACTTGGTCCCTCACCCTTCAAGGTCCAGTAAAGACACCTCCTCCCTGCTGAGGTCTTGGTAGCCAGGTGTGGCACATTTCCCTGAGCCCCAGAGCCCCTGGCATACACCTCTGTTTTCCCACCTCATAAAGGATGTGGTCTCCTTGTCTAAACCTTTCATTCTGCCCCTTTGCCTGGCACAACACTTAGTATTCGCTCAATAAAAATTTGAAGACAGAATATTGAACCTGTAAGTTTAACATGTCTTATCAAAAGCTTAGGTTTGAGAAATAATCATTATCAAAATGGTCTCTGGCATGCCATGGGCCCATTTCACCTTTGAAATTTAATCCTCAGATCAGGCCAGCCCAGTGGAGACATGTGCCTGGGAAGAGTTGTTCCCCGGGTCCCGAATCCTTTACCAACCAGTGTTTGGCTCATGCCTTGACTGGTGCTCAGGACTAGGGTAAGAAACTTGTGGGGGACATTTCTGCCATGTTTATGGCATGGCTAAGAGGACACTATTTATTACATCTCGCAGGTCTGCTTCCTGAGGTCCGTGAAAAAATGTTCCAAGATTTCTGTGCCAGCAACGTTTTTGCTTCTTTTGAGTATGGTTGGCGCTCTTTGTTTTGAAACGTGTTTTCGGTTGCTGGGAAGCTCAGAAACAAATCTGTGACGCACTTTCCATGACGTGTACTAACTGTCCCCCCTCTTCTCTGGAATGTGATTTGTCTATTCTAAATAACGCTTCTGCATTGTGGTGAAACACATTTTGGGAATGAGGCAGATGGCAGTGCCTGCCTGGGCACACAGCGAGCGTGTGCAGGGATGGGTCTGGAACCCAGGTGCTCTGACTTCATGAAGCAGAGACTGAAACTAAGCGGAAAGGAAGTGAACGCTTCTGGGTCAGCCACTGGGGTTTCCTAAGGACCATGAGGCACTGCCTACAGACGCTGGAATCTCTGACTTCCGGCCCAAAGAGGGCCATGGAACCTCGGGGAGGGCTGAGGTGCACAGAGTACCCAACGGCGGGGCCATCCATCTTTATACAAACCTAATGGTTCTGTAATGCCTAGCGCCTGTAACATGTATTACTTGAGCCCCACCTGGATTTGACTATTCCCAGGGGTGGGGTGTCTCACCCATCGACTGACCATTGACTCCATTAGGGCTGGAAGTAAGGACCAGGTGTTCTAGAAGGCAGCGCTCCCGTGGCTGGGACAAAATCATCATCATATTGCCTTTAAGGTGAAGTTAGGGTCAAACATATCGTTTCCAGATCTCTCTGAGGAAAGTATTTTCAGAGAACTTTAATCCTGGAACGTGCCGGGCAAGGCAAGTACTGTGTAGCTGGTGCCTGGAGAAGGGTGGCCCGGGAGGGTGCAACGGTGGGTGGTGGAGAGCATCCCGTTCCAAGCTGCCATCCAAGCCGCCCGGCCTGTGGCTGGCGGGTGGTGGGTCCTCAGAGGCTCTGCGGAACCTCTCTAGGCGCTTCTCTCCCTCTCGCCTGCAGCTCTGTCGAAGATGCACTGGACACCGGAACACGCCCAGCCCCTCAACCAGTGGCCAGAGCAGCACCTGGACGTCTCCTCCACTACCCCGTCGCCGGCCCACAAGTTGGAGCTGCCCCCTGGGGGTCGCCAGCGCTGCCACTATGCTTGGGCACACGACGACATCTCTGCCCTCACGGCCTCCAACCTCCTCAAGCGCTACGCGGAGAAGTACTCAGGGGTCCTGGACTCGCCCTACGAGCGCCCCGCGCTGGGCGGCTATGGCGACGCCGCCTTCCTCAATGGCGCCAAGGGGGACCCCGAGCCCTGGCCAGGGCCCGAGCCCCCCTACCCCTTGGCCTCACTCCACGAGGGCCTCCCGGGAACGAAATCGGCCAGTGGGGGCGGCTCCGGGGGCCTCGGGGGCTCGCCGGTTTTATCCGGGAACCTAGCTGATCCCCTCTACGCCGGCAATGCGTGCGGGGGCCCGTCGGCGGCGCCCGAGTACGCGGCGGGCTACGGCGGGGGGTACCTGGCCCCCGGCTACTGCGCGCAGACTGGCGCCGCGCTGCCCCCGCCGCCCCCCGCCGCGCTACTGCAGCCCCCGCCTCCGCCGGGTTACGGCCCGTCGGGGCCTCTGTACAACTACCCCGCGGGGGGCTACGCCGCTCAGCCCGGATACGGGGCTCTCCCGCCGCCCCCGGCCCCGCCCCCGGCCCCCTACCTGACCTCCGGCCTGGCGGCGCCCACGCCCCTGCCCGCGCCCGCTCCGCCCCGGCCGGCGCCCACCTCCTACAGCTTCCAGGCGGCCGCTCCCGGCGCCGAGGCCGGCGTGTCGCTGAAGCGCAAGGCGGCCGACGAGGGCGCGGAGGGCCGCTACCGCAAGTACGTCTACGAGCCGGCCAAGGCCCCGGCGGCCGACGGCGCCTCCTATCCCGCAACGGACAACGGCGACTGTCGGGGCAACGGGTTCCGGCCGAAGCCGCCGGGCGCCGCGGAGGAGGCGTCTGTCAAGTACGGTGGCGGCGTCCCCCTCAAGGTCTTGGGCTCTCCCGTCTACGGCCCGCAACTCGAGCCCTTTGAAAAGTTCCCGGAGCGCGCTCCGGCGCCGGCTCCCCGCGGGGTCTTCGGAGTGCCGTCGGGAGAGCCCCCCAAAGGCGTGGACCCGGGGGCCCTGGAGCTGGTGACGAGCAAGATGGTGGACTGCGGGCCCCCGGTGCAGTGGGCAGATGTGGCAGGCCAAGGCGCGCTCAAGGCGGCGCTGGAGGAGGAGCTGGTGTGGCCGCTGCTCAGGCCGCCCGCCTACCCTGGCAGCCCGCGCCCGCCGCGGACCGTGCTGCTCTTCGGACCGCGGGGCGCGGGCAAAGCGCTGTTGAGCCGCTGCCTGGCCACGCAGCTGGGCGCCACGCTGCTGCGCCTGCGCGGAGCGACGCTGGCCGCGCCCGGCGCCGCCGAG